GCCCTGCCGCATAGCCCGCTGCAACAGGACAAGTCCCAGGGACTCGCAGTTTGTGGGGCGTTGCCAGACTCTAGATGATATTCCTAGATAGACACAAGATGTTTGGAGCTGTGAACTTATCCCACAGCCCTTTGACTTTTGTCCTCACTTTCTTTCAGATGCAGAAGGCTAAAATCCAGGGCAAAATCCATCCACCCATCCCGAGTGAGGAGGTTCCCCCGAGCAGGTCAGTCACCGTTTGTCTCTGCAGGGGGAGTGTAAAGTGTGACTCTGTTACAGCTCTGGTCTTTTTCTTTTTAGGAGGTAAAGCTGGATATCAGCAGTCAAGGTGAGGTGGGCAAGGTGAGCATTGAGTAGGGTACAGAAGCAGTTGTTATTGCTCCAGTCTCACTTTCCAGTGCAGCTCTAAGCATCCGTTCCTGTTTTTTCATCAGCCTCGGAGCGCGGCCGAAGGGTGCGGCCCCAGGAGCCAGGCATTCTTAGGAGAACGGTGAGTGGCAGAATTGTTGGGTTTTGGCCAGTGTGCTGCATTGATCATGCATTAATATTTGCATTTCTTTCATGTAGCTGACTAAGAAACAACAGGGAGTTGTTGAACAAGAGTGCCAGCAGGAACTTCCCAGATGTCGAGGTTGCCTTCTTTTGCACCTGACACGGACCTGCATCCCCAGCTGTGCGAGAGATAAGTAGAGGGGTACAACCCACAGAGGGGATGAAAGCGGGGCGCAGGGTAGGGACCCACCGGGAGGGATTTTTGAGTCTCCTTTGGAGATGGGGGCGTCCATGAAGCGGCCCCTTAGGCCCCATAAAAGCAAAGCCTGACTTTGGGTCCCAGCGCTGAGGCGCGCAGGGCAGAGCAGTCCCGGTGTGTATCGTGTCACTTGTCTTTTGTGTATTATGTGTTGTTTGGATATGTCATGTCCTTTACCTTAGGCCTTTGAGGGGCCTGTCAGAAACCCTGGCATTGTTGTTAGCATCTGCGATCTCTGCATTCCTCAGCCTGGCAGCCAGGCCATAGAACTTTTGACTGGGGAGCTCAGACAGGCATCAGACTCTCTAGTCTCTTTAGAAGCATCCAGTCAGGTGTCTTTTCAGGTCTTGTTCTGAGCTGTGTGGACAGCTCTGCCCCGCCAGGATCCATTATGGCGGACTAGGACTGGAAAGAACGTGAGGGCAGGTAGAGGCTTCTGGCCGTAGGATTCTCAGGCATCCATCTTTGCAGTTCTTGGAATAAATCATTTGGTTAGCATCTTGTTCCTCCAGGTTTCTCTGAGCCTCATCAGCTCACCATCGGTCTCCCCTCGGTCATCTCCTTTTGCATTCTCTCAGTCCTTGCAGCCATTTTCCTTGCCAGGAGATTTCTGTCCGTGTTGTGTCCCCGTTGTCTGTCACGTCCCGTCCCGTGTCACGGGTGTCTGCACACATTTGTGCCGGAGCTGCTCTGCCCTGCCGCATAGCCCGGTGCAATATGAGAAGTCCCGGGGACTTGAAGTTTTTAATGTGGGGTGCAGTTGGACTCTAGGTGGGATTTGTAGATGGACACAAGATATCTGGAGCTCTTAAGTTATCCTGCAACAGTTTGACTCTTGTCCTAACTTTTTTTTCAGATTCAGATGGATTAAATCTGTGCCAGAGGGCCCCATCCCGGGTGAGGAGGTTCCCCCGAGCAGGTGAGGCACCATTTGTCTCTGCAGCAGAAGTGTATGCGGTGACTCTGTTACAGCTCTGTTCTTTGTCTTTCTTTTTAGGAAGTAAATCTGGATACCAGCAGTCAAGGTGAGCAGTGGAGAGAAGTAGCTGTTATTGCTCCGGTCTCAGTTTCTGGTGCAGCTCTAAGTTTCCATTCTCTTTTTTCTGGTTTAGGCCATCCACTCGGAGCCTGCCAAGCCCCCGTCACCAGCCGGCCGATGCACCGGGTTCCCTGCACGTGCGAGCCCTGTGGACGCATTACAGGACCTGGTGATGAAGCCCTGAACTTTTCTATTTAAAGGTGCCATCCGGGTGGCCTCAGGCAGCTGCCAAGGAGTTGCGGTGAGTCGGGGAAGTAGGGGGGAGGAGCGCGGTTCCCCTCAGGTTTCAGCCATGCCAAATCACCTCATCTCCTCTTAACCCAGGCACCCCCCGGGACGACGGCCTCGGTCTCCGAGCGTGCCCGAAGCGTGCGGCCCGAGCAGCCGAGCGTTCTTAGGACCACGGTGAGTAGCAGACTTGTGGGGTTTTGGCTGAGGGGCTGCCAAGATCAGGCACTGATGTTTGGTTTTCTTTAATACAGCTGTCCGAGAGACACCAGCCCGGTGCCAGCAGGATCTTCCCAACTGGCGAGGCGGCCTTTCTTCGCACCCGAGACCGGCATCCCCAGCTGCGCGAGAGATAAGTAGAGGGCCACGACCCACAGAGGGGATGAAAGCAGGGTGCTGGTTTGGGAATTACTGGGAGGGGTTTTTGAGTCCCCTTTGGAGGTGGGGGCTGTCCATGAAGCGGCCCCTTAGGCCCCATAAAAGCAAAGCCTGACTTGGGATCACAGCGCTGAGGCGCGCAGGGCAGAGCAGTCCCGGTGTGTATCGTGTCACTTGTCTACTGTGTATTATGTGTTGTTTGGATATGTCATGTCTTTTACCTTAGGCCTTTGAGGGGCCTGTCAGAAACCCTGGCATTGTTGTTAGCATCTGTGATCTCTGCATTCCTTGGCCTGGCAGCCAAGCCATAGAACTTTGAGCTCGGGAGCTCAGGCATCAGACTCTCTTGTCTCTTTAGAAGCATCCGGTCAGGTGTCTTTTCAGGTCTTGTTCTGAGCTGTACGGACAGCTCTGCAGCGCCAGGATCCATTATGGTGGACTAGGACTGGAAAGAACGTGAGGGCAGGCAGAGGCTTCTGGCCGTAGGATTCTCAGGCATCCATCTTTGCAGTTCTTGGAATAAATCATTTGGTTAGCATCTTGTTCCTCCAGGTTTCTCTGAGCCTCATCAGCTCACCATCGGTCTCCCCTCGGTCATCTCCTTTTGCATTCTCTCAGTCCTTGCAGCCATTTTCCTTGCCAGGAGATTTCTGTCCGTGTTGTGTCCCCGTTGTCTGTCACGTCCTGTCTGTCCTGTGTCACGGGTGTCTGCGCACACATTTGTGCCGGAGCTGCTCTGCCCTGCTGCATAGCCTGGTGCAATACGAGAAGTCCTGGGGTCTTGGAGTTTTTAATGTGGGGTGTAGTTGGACTCTAGGTGGGATGTGTAGATGGACACAGGATATCTGGAGCTCTTAAGTTATCCTGCAACAGTTTGACTCTTGTCCTAACTTTGTTTTCAGATTCAGATGGATTAAATGCGTGCCAGAGGGCCCCATCCAGGGTGAGTGGTTTCCCCCGAGCAGGTGAGGCACCATTTGTCTCTGCAGCAGAAGTGTATGCGGTGACTCTGTTACAGCTCTGTTCTTTGTCTTTCTTTTTAGGAAGTAAATCTGGATACCAGCAGTCAAGGTGAGCAGTGGAGAGAAGTAGCTGTTATTGCTCCGGTCTCAGTTTCTGGTGCTGCTCTAAGCTTCCATTCTCTTTTTTGTGGTTTAGGCTATCCACTCGGAGCCTGCCAAGCCCCCGTCACCAGCCGGTCGATGCAGCGGGTTCCCTGCACGTGTGTGCCCTGTGGACGCATTACAGGACCTGGTGATGAAGCCCTGAACTTTTCTATTTAAAGGTGCCATCCAGGTGGCCTCGGGCAGCTGCCAAGGAGTTGCGGTGAGTCGGGGAAGTAGGGAGGAGGAGCGCGGTTCCCCTCAGGTTTCAGCCATGCCAAATCACCTCATCTCCTCTTAACCCAGGCACCCCCCGGGACGACGGCCTCGGTCTCTGAGCGTGCCCGAAATGTGCGGCCCGAGCCGCCGAGCGTTATTAGGAGCGCGGTGAGTAACAGACTCGTGGGGTTTTGGCCGATGGACTGCCCAGATTGGGCGCCGATGTTTGGTTTTCTTTAATACAGCTGTCTGAGAGACACCAGCCCGGTGCCAGCAGGAGCTTCCCGGCTGACGAGGCGGCCTTTCTTCGCACCCGAGACCGGCATCCCCAGCTGCGCGAGAGATAAGTAGAGGGCCACGACCCACAGAGGGGATGAAAGCAGGGTGCTGGTTTGGGAATTACTGGGAGGGGTTTTTGAGTCCCCTTTGGAGGTGGGGGCTGTCCATGAAGCGGCCCCTTAGGCCCCATAAAAGCAAAGCCTGACTTGGGATCACAGCGCTGAGGCGCGCAGGGCAGAGCAGTCCCGGTGTGTATCGTGTCACTTGTCTACTGTGTATTATGTGTTGTTTGGATATGTCATGTCTTTTACCTTAGGCCTTTGAGGGGCCTGTCAGAAACCCTGGCATTGTTGTTAGCATCTGTGATCTCTGCATTCCTCGGCCTGGCAGCCAAGCCGTAGAACTTTGGACTCAGGAGCTCAGACAGGCATCAGACTCTCTTGTCTCTTTAGCAGCATCCGGTCAGGTGTCTTTTCAGGTCTTGTTCTGAGCTGTATGGGCAGCTCTGCCCCGCCAGGATCCATTATGGCGGACTAGGACTCAAAAGAACGTGAGGGCAGGTAGAGGCTTCTGGCCATAGGATTCTCGGGCATCCATCTTTGCAGTTCTTGGATAAAATCATTCCGTTAGCATCTTCTTCCTCCAGGTTTCTCTGAGCCTCATCAGCCCACCATCAGTCTCCCCTCGGTCATATCATTTGGCATCTTCTCAGTCCTTGCAGTCATCCTTCTTGCCCAGAGATTTCTGTCTGTGTTGTGTGCCTGTTGTTTGTCGTGTCCTGTCTGTCCTGTGTCACGGGTGTCTGCACACATTTGTGCCGGAGCTGCTCTGCCCTGCCGCATAGCCTGGTGCAGTAGGAGAAGTCCCGGGGAGTTGAAATTTGTAATGTGGGGTGTGGTTGGGCTCTGGGTGCAATGTGTAGATGGACACAAGATATCTGGAGCTCTTAAGTTATCCTGCAGCCCTTTGACTTTTGTCCTAACTTTCTTTCAGATGCAGAAGGATAAAATCCAGGGCAGAGCCCCCCATCCCAGGTGAGGGGATTGCCCTGACCAGGTCAGTCTCCATTTGTCTGTGCAGAGGAAGCATAAATGGTGGCTGTTACAGCATTGTTCTTTGTTTCTCTTTTTAGGAGGTCAAGGCCGAGAGCAGCAGTCAAGGCCGAGTGGGCAAGGTGAGCATTGATTAGCGTACAGAAGCAGTTGTTATTGCTGAGTTCTCAGTTTTGGTGCAGCTCTAAGCATCTCCTCTTGTTTCTTTTATTTTAGGTGGTCCACTTGCCATCTATCCTGGCCAAGCACGCCCATGTCAGGTGGGTGAGAGCTTAAGGTATCGGCGTGGCATCCTTGTCAGACTTGGGAGGTTGCTTGGGAGGTTGCGTTTTCACAGAATATCCGCATGCTTTTCTGCTTTGTTTCATTGCAGGTGCCGTCGCTGCCCTAGGCACGCCAAGGAACAGAGGAGGGCAGGTGAGTCAGAGTTTAGGCAGGCTGACCCATAGGTGAGCGTTAAACAGCAGCATGCTAAGCGTGTACCTTTTCTCTTTGCAGGTATCTTCTGGGCACCCTTCAGAGTCAAATCAAGATTTGAGGTGAGCCGGGGCAGGGGTGCGGAGGAGTCCCGGGGATTACTGTTGTTGAGGGCAATAGTCAGGTTTTCTATTTTGTCTTAGGCACCCTGAGGAGGCTCGTAGCCAAAGCTTGGAAACGGCAGCACCGAAGCCCCCACGGACACCATCTCCACGTCCACGTCCGACCGAGGATGGATTTCGTCCGCTCCTCTTCCAAAAGCTAAGTGTCGGGGCCAGTGGTTGGGGGAAGGGGAAAAACCTTTACTCTCACAGGAGGCAATCAGATGTCAGCTTAGGGGACAGGTCTGTAGCGGGGTGGGTTCTCTGGAAGTAAAGGGAGAGGGTTTCCCCTCAGCCTCGCCAGAGCCTTTGCCGGGCAGGGCAGTTCCGACCCATCTCCACATTTCCGCGTACTTCGCGTCGTCCGCCTCCCTCGGCCCGACGTCGTCACGGATCTTTCCTCGGAGGAGCTCGCCTTCACGTCCGGAGCTACGGCCACGGTCACCCGGCAGTCGGCTTCCTTCTCTAGGCTCGCCGAGCCTCTCGAGCATCCTCTTAACTACTTCGGCACTAACTTCTTTTGACGAGTTACATTTCATCATCATGTGCCATCGTCATAGGGCTCCCTTTCCTTTGGCATCATCAGCCTCTGGCTGATCTTGCACTAGCAATCTCAGGTTCCTAAGGGGACAGTGCCAGGCAGTTGTCACTCGTCTCTGTGTTATGTCATCTGTGTCTATGTTACGTCGTCCGTGTCTGTGTCATGTAGTCTGTGTCCATCGTCTTCCGTGTCACAGGCCTTTTTCACGTCTCGACGCTTTATCGGCACTATTCCGTGCCACGTAGGCCATATTCTACTTCACGTTCCTTTCCGGATATCCCTTATTCCGGCATCTTTGCATTTTTACTTTGAGACCGGAACGTCTCACAGGGACAAGATGCTCTCATCCATCTTCCTTCTCACTACCGGCTTTGGTAGTGCCTTTTTTTCCACGCCATTCTCTTGGACTTCCTGAGGGAGCGTCTTACACCCTCCTCACGTGACTGCAGGAGTTCTATAGGTTCCATCTTCCCAGGGGGTATAGGGTTCAAGAATTAATCTTCCAGAGAGCTCTCTGAAGTCCTGGCTTACATTGCATGTACCTATGTTGGCTTATACTGTATGTACTTATATTGTATGTACCTATGCTGGCTTATACTGTATGTCCTTACAGTGTGTGTACCTATGTTGGCTTATACTGTATGTACTTATATTGTATGTACCTATGCTGGCTTATACTGTATGTCCTTACAGTGTGTGTACCTATGTTGGCTTATACTGTATGTACTTATATTGTGTGTGCCTATGCTGGCTTATACTGTATGCACTTACACTGCGTGTACCTGTGTTGGCTTATACTGTATGTAGTTATATTGTGTGTGCCTATGCTGGTTTATACTGTATGTACTTGTACTATATGTACTTACACTGTGTGTACCTGTGTTGGCTTATACTGTATGTACTTATATTGTGTGTGCCTATGCTGGTTTATACCGTATGTACTTACTTACACTGTGTGTAGCTATGTTGGCTTATACTGTATGTACTTACTTACACTGTGTGTAGCTATGTTGGCTTATACTGTATGTACTTACTTACACTGTGTGTAGCTATGTTGGCTTATACTGTATGTACTTATATTGTGTGTGCCTATGCTGGCTTATACTGTATGTACTTACACTGTACCACTTATGCTCGGAGCTGCCCTGTCCTGGCACGTAGTCACAGTTAGGTAGAAAAGTTATAAAAACTTTACTGTTCATCTGTCTTTAATGGGGTTTTGGGTAGAAAATTTATCGGTCAGAGCAGGGACAAGTCCTAGCTGTCAGATAGCCACTCATTGACCACTTTCTGTCGTCTCACAGGTCCCCGAGGCTCCCAATTTCCCCAGAATCTACCATTTGACATCAAGGAGCGGCACCCAGAAGAAGCGTGGAAGCGCTCTCTTCAGCGTCTCGAGTAAGGGCCACACCGAGCACGTAAGCGGGAGGAGCGTGAGTGACAGCACGTGTCTGTCTGGGTGTGTGAGCGCATGCTGACTGGATTTAACCTTGTGCGTGTGGCTTTTGCTTTTCAGGTTTTTCAACTCATTTTTAAATTTAGAATAAAAAATCCCCAGCCGGGGGGGTTTTTTTTTCCCCCCGGCTGGGTTTTTTTTTCCCGGGTCCCGGTCGGTCGGCGAGGCGACGTTCATCGCCAAAGTTTGGGCGCGGACCGTCCAGGGACCGGGGTTTTCGTCAGGCAGGAGGATTTTTTTTGGGTGCTCTCGGGAACCACGTTCCTGAGGAGCGGCGCGAATGCGTGCTGAGGGTCAGTGGAGCGGTCGAGGTCCGATCGAGTGTGGGTGTGTGTGTGTTGAAGGGGTCTAGGGTTGTAACCTTGTCTGAGTTTTGCTTTTCAGGTTTTTCAACTCATTTTTAAATTTAGAATAAAAAATCCCCAGCCGGGGGTTTTTTTTTTTTTTCCCCCCGGCTGGGTTTTTTTTTCCCGGGTCCCGGTCGGTCGGCGAGGCGACGTTCATCGCCAAAGTTTGGGCGCGGACCGTCCAGGGACCGGGGTTTTCGTCAGGCAGGAGGATTTTTTTTGGGTGCTCTCGGGAACCACGTTCCTGAGGAGCGGCGCGAATGCGTGCTGAGGGTCAGTGGAGCGGTCGAGGTCCGATCGAGTGTGGGTGTGTGTGTGTTGAAGGGGTCTAGGGTTGTAACCTTGTCTGAGTTTTGCTTTTCAGGTTTTTCAACTCATTTTTAAATTTAGAATAAAAAATCCCCAGCCGGGGTGTTTTTTTTTTTCCCCCCCGGCTGGGTTTTTTTTTTCCCAGGTCCCGGTCGGTCAGCGAGGCGAGGTTCATCGCCAAAGTTTGGGTGCGGACCGGCCAGGGACCGGGGTTTTCGTCAGGCAGGAGGATTTTTCGGGGCCTCCCGGGAACCAGGTTCCCAAGGAGGGGCGGGAGTCCGTGCCGAGGGGTAGCAGAGAGTTTGAGGTGTGAGTCAGCATGGGTGTGTGTGTGTCAGCTGAAGGCAGTGTGTGTGTGTTGAAGGGTTGTAGGGTTGTAACCTTGTATGAGTTTTGCCTTTCAGGTTTTTCAACTCATTTTTAAATTTAGAATAAAAAATCCCCAGCTGGGGGGGTTTTTTTTTTTTTCCCCCCCCGGCTGGGTTTTTTTTTTCCCGGGTCCCGGTCGGTCAGCGAGGCGACGTTCATCGCCAAAGTTTGGGCGCGGACCGGCCAGGGACCGGGGTTTTCGTCAGGCAGGAGGATTTTTTCGTGATCCCGGGAACCACGTTCCCGAGGAGCAATGATTACTGGGGTGTAATTTAGCAGTTGTGATGGCAGCGATGGTGAGTTTGTGTGTCCTGTGAAGGGGGTGTTAATGGTAGATCAGTGTTGTTTTATGTGTGCTTTTGTTGTTTTGCGTGTCCTGTGACAATAAATCAACCTGTAATGAAAATAGAAAAAGGTTATCATATTGTGTTAGTATGTGTTGTATTGCTCTGTATTGCTGTGTATTGCATTTGCATTAGCTGCTGCATTTTGCTGTATTGCTCTGTATTGCTCTGTATTGCTCTGTATTGCTCTGTATTGCTCTGTATTGCTCTGTATTGCTCTGTATTGCTCTGTATTGCTCTGTATTGCTCTGTATTGCTCTGTATTGCTCTGTATTGCTCTGTATTGCTCTGTATTGCTCTGTATTGCTCTGTATTGCTCTGTATTGCTCTGTATTGCTCTGTATTGCTCTGTATTGCTCTGTATTGCTCTGTATTGCTTTTGCATTAGCTGCTGCATTTTGCTGTATTGCTCTGTATTGCTGTGTATTGCATTTGCATTAGCTGCTGCATTTTGCTGTATTGCTCTGTATTGCTGTGTATTGCTTTTGCATTAGCTGCTGCATTTTGCTGTATTGCTCTGTATTGCTGTGTATTGCTTTTGCATTAGCTGCTGCATTTTGCTGTATTGCTCTGTATTGCTTTTGCATTAGCTGATGCCTTGCCCTGTATTGCTCTGTATGTAAACTCGATTTTTACCAGTGCGTCTATGGATTGTATCTGCACTTGCATTTGTATACACTGTTTCCATGTATTTTGTTGATGTATAAATGAAAACATTCTTTTAATAAAGTTGAGTCACCCTTAATAAAGATACCCCCTGCCCTTCCCTACCCCCACCGTGGCTCCTGTCTTTTTTTGGTGCGGTGTCGTCATTTCTTTCCACTGTATTTCTTCCTTTTGCTCCTCACTTTACTGTTCTATTTCTCCCTTAACTTCCATCCATATCTAACCCTTTGTTTCTGTTGCCTTTCTAAGTGTCTATCTCCGTCCTCTCGCTTCTTTTTCTCTCCACCTTCTCCTTTTCCTCGGTTTGTGTTTTTTGCTCTTAGTCCTTTCCTTTTTCAGCCCACTCCTAAGTTTTCACCTTCACTCTAATCCTAACCACTTTCTTTTTCCCTCTAACTCCTGTCCTTCTTCAGTTCTCCCACCCTCCTTTTCTTGTCTTACTCTGTCTTCCTGTGTATTCTTCTGTCTTCTTGTCTCTTCTTTGTCTTTTCCTATCTATCTCTTCTCCCTCTCTGTCTCCCTCTGTGTCTTCTTCCTCTGTTCTCTCCTCTTCTTTCTGTCTTTGTCCCTGTTCTCTCCCTCTATTTTTTTCCAACTCTTTTCTCTCTCCCTTTTCTCTCTGGTTCTCTGTCTGTCCTTTCTCTGTGCTTCTCTCTCTTTGTCTTTTCTGTCTGCTCCTCTGTCTTTTCTCTCTGCTCTTCTGTCTCTCTTTTCTCTCTGCTCCTATGTCTCTCTTTTCTTCTTGCTTCTCTCTCTGTCTTTTCTCTCTGCTTCTCTGTGTTTTCTCTCTGCTTCTCTCTCTCTTTTCTCTCTTCTTCTCTCTCTCTGTCTTTTCTCTCTGCTTCTGTCTGTCTTTTCTCTCTGCTTCATTCTTTTTGTCTCTCCTTCTCTCTCTCTTTTCCTCTTTCCTCTCTCTTTCGTCTCTCCTTCTCTCTCTCTTTTCCTCTTTCTTCTCTCTTTCTCTCTTTCGTCTCTCCTTCTCTCTCTCTTTTCCTCTTTCCTCTCTCTTTCGTCTCTCCTTCTCTCTCTCTTTTCCTCTTTCTTCTCTCTTTCTCTCTTTCGTCTCTCCTTCTCTCTCTCTTTTCCTCTTTCCTCTCTCTTTCGTCTCTCCTTCTCTCTCTCTTTTCCTCTTT